TTTTTGAATTATTGAGGAAAAACACGGACCAATCAGAGCGCGAGGATTACGCGCGCCCAGCCACTAGGATCGAAGCTGTCGCTCTCGCATCTACGCATGCGTAATCCTCACGCTCTGATTGGTCCACGTTTTTCTTTAATAATTCAAAAACGAAGCTTCAAACCCCATTTTTGCAAAGGGAAATGTTATTCAGAATCACGTCAGCTACCTCCCATTTCAGGGGCTTACACTAATTCTGAGACACCCTGTATATCTATTACATAGATACAGAATTATTTGGACTATAAATGCTTTTGTTTATCAGTCACTAATGAGTCGATTGGTTTTTCTTAAACATGTAATCCAACAAAGAAGCTATTTAAGAATTTGTGGACTTAAAGATTTTAGAATCAGAAATTTGTTCAAGCTGCAAACTTCTAAATCTCCCTTTGCTTTTTCCTCTCATTAAATTTTCTAAATTTTCAAACAATTTTAACTTGATCACACCGTAAAATAAGATAAGTGGAAGATAAATGAATTCTCATAAAATGAAGACTATTGAACATTAAATGTCTCAAAACCTCTCACCTATTTTTAACGAAACCGTAATACGTATATCCTGCTCTATTTACCCGGACGAAAATATGCACATCGCAATTGCGCGTTATCTGTCTGCGCTAAGAATCAGCACAATGGCCGTACAATAAACAAAAGATACTGCTTCCTTTCAAAGCTCCGTTTCGTGTGTACGTTTCAATGCAGATAACGACCAGCGCCACTTTTTCGTCGTTCTTTCGACAGAACGAATTTCAATGGAAATCCTACGAGCCTCATTGAATATAATACGAAAAACAATAATTGAATTGTCATGCTTTGAAACAATTCGAAAGTGCATCCCCGCAAAGTGCATCCACTGTCCGTTGCAAAAAGTTAGCATTGTTATTTACAACGAAAAGGTTTCGGTAAAAAGTGATCTTTATAAATACAAATTAACGAAGGAAGATTTTTAAACAATTGTGGTGGACAAGGAGGAGATTTATTGAGAATAGAAGATTTTTTGTTTCAATATTGTTTATTGTTGTGAATGGCAGAATTTTGTTTTGTTTTAATATTGTTTTGTGGAGCTATTCATTTTTATTGTGTACACTCACAATTCTGTAAATTTCTAGATCTTTAGATTGCTAGCTTAGTGTTTGTGTAGAACTCTAGTTTTTTAAATCCCAATATTCCCTAAATTCCTATATTTCCCAAATTTCCACATTGTCCAAATTTCCACATTGCCCAAATTTCCACATTGTCCAAATTCCACAATTCCCAAATTTCAGAACCCCAAATTTCACACCCACCAAATTCCACAATCCCCAAATTTCACAATCCCCAAATTCCATAATCCTCGAATTCCACAATTCCCAAATTCCACAATCCCCAAATTCCATAATCCTTAAATTCCACAATCCCTAAATTTTACAACCCCCAAATTCCACAATTTCCAAATTCCACAACCCCCAAATTTCACAATCCCCAAATTCCACAATCCCCAAATTCCAAAAACCCCAAATTTCACTACCACCAAATTCTACAACCCCCAAATTCCACAATCCCCAAATTCCACAATCCCCAAATTCCATAATCCCCAAATTCCACAATCCCCAAATTCCACAATCCCCAAATTCCACAATCCCCAAATTCCACAATCCCCAAATTCCACAATCCCCAAATTCCACAATCCCCAAATTCCACAATCCCCAAATTCCACAATCCCCAAATTCCACAATCCCCAAATTCCACAATCCCCAAATTCCACAATCCCCAAATTCCACAATCCCCAAATTCCATAATCCCCAAATTCCACAATTCCCAAATTCCACAATCCCTAAATTTCACAACCCCCAAATTTCACAATTCCCAAATTCCACAACCCCCAAATTTCACAATCCCCAAATTCCCAAGTCTCCAAATACCAAAACCCCCAAATTCTAAAATTGCAAAATCTTCAACAATGATTATACACTATACCAGTAAAGATAAAGGAACTTTTATGTACTTATAACAGTTTTGTTATAATTAGTTTCCACTTTTACATCACCGTGAATCACGCATACAATTTAGAAACTTGGCGAATCTAATCTCCGATAATGAAGCGTTTATTTCGCACAGCTTCCTCTTTAATCTGGCAAGGTAAAGAAAGTCGAATCACGTCCCAGATATCGGGAAGAAAGTACGGAAACGCCATCGCCGAAACGTATATCCGATTCGCGAAATAACAAGGCTCGTAGCAAACTTTCCACAATGTTCAATATACAATTGCATCGAGTTTTCGCCATTTCCTGCTGAGTGTATCGGTGGATCCCGGATAATTTGTAAGAATTTGTGAGGATTTTGGACGCCAATTTGGCACATGAATCGGGTCTACATTTTTTATTCTTTTTTAATGGATATTTTCTGAGAAGGATATTTAATATTACAAACACTAATAATATTCTTACAATTATAGGAATATTTTGTTGAAGTTAGATCAGTCTTACGTGAATCAGCTTTTGGAAGAAAATTTGGGCTCGTGAATCAGATTTAAATTTTCTATTTTACTTAATACAAATTTTGCTCAGAAAGATATCTAACACTGCAAACACAGTTTGAACATTTGTCACTTGAACAATTGTCAGTTTTATCACTTTGCTTTCTGACAATTATAGGAATATGTTGTTAAAGTTAGGGCACTTGAATCAAACTTCATTTGATTATGACTCAAACTGACTGAACATTAAAACATAATTCTTGTAACTAGTTACTATATAAATAGTACTTTTTAACTTATACTTTTGTTCAATGTACAATAGCATACTTTATAAACAGGCAATAATTCACTGCGGATGTGAAAATTGAAACACCATTCTCACAGTACTCTTTCAACTAAAAATGAAGTAAACTAATAATTTTATCCACTGTTGTATAATCTCGTACATTAACAACGACATTAACATTGCTGACATATTCATAACTTACTCACATATTCTTTAAATCTTGTTCACCTTACTTAGTATTTAAAACAACTTTCACAAAAAAAAATTACAGTCATCAAAAATTCATTTTTCTTAAATAAAACTATAAAGAAATATTCTATAAAGAACGTGAATAAATAACTTCATTTCTAACAAAACCAGAGTTGATTTAGTAAAACTGCAGTGTTTTAAAACCAAGCGTGTTTATTTGGTTCTCTTAAAAAATGGCGGAGAATCGGGAAAGACAGAGAAAAAACAAGCCATCCGTTAAGTGTTAAGGTTCTTATTCCAGAAGGGGAGGTGGCGAGTGTGAACGTAACCACGGTGCAAAGGCGATGCACCGTAGCTGCAGTAGCAGTGGATGAAGGAAAAATCGATGCATCGCCTGCGATTGTGGCCGAGCACCGCCGAAGTCGGCTCAGCTGTGCCGAATACGAAGAACCAGCGCGAAACTGCATCGATGAGAAATACGATCGTTGCACCAGCTCTCGATAGGATTTCTCAAAGAGTACGAACAAGTGAATATACTATTGTGAATAATAATACATGTGATGTATAAGTTAATGTATGTATAGTTACATGCGGACTTCATTTATTAGTTAATTTGTGAATAGCAGCAAGTTTTGTACAAATTTAGTTGCTACGTATTCACTTCATAAATCAGAAAGTATTGAATTTGGCCGAATTTTTTATTATTGTTATGTGTAATAGATGCACATAATTCAAATAGATGCGGTAGCATGAAAGACCTCACCTATAGATAAATCCGGTTTAGGAAAACTATTAGAGAAGCTAATTTGGCTGCTGTCCATTGACGTAACTACGGGGGTGGACTACGAGGATGTAGAGTATCTTGTACAACTCGTGTTGGAAACTTGGAAGTGCTCAAAATTGCAGATGTTTGAATTAGCGAGTGAAGTCTACAAATTGAATTATACCTCATTTGTGAATTAGCAAAATCCAAAATCTTGCAGTTTATAGTTTCGTTAATTTCTAAATTGTCTACTTGCAAAATTCTCAAATTATACAATTAATTGACGAAATTTTCAATAATCTAAGCTTCTAAATTTCTAAAATCTTGAAGTACCAGATCCTCAAATTCCACGACCCAAAATTTCACAACTCCAAATTCCACGCTTTCCTAATTCCACACTTCCCAAATTCCATAATCCCCAAATTTCACAATTCCAAATTCCACACTTCCCAAATTCCACAACCCCAAATTTCACAATTCCAAATTCCACACTTCCCAAATTTCTCAACCCCAAATTCCACAACCCCAAATTCGATAATCCCCAAATTTCACAACTCCAAATTCCACACTTCCCAATTTCCATAATCCCCAAATTTCACAACTCCAAATTCCACAACCCCAAATTCCACACTTTCCAAATTCCATAATCCCCAAATTTCACAATTCCAAATTCCACACTTCCCAAATTCCACAACCCCAAATTTCACAATTCCAAATTCCACACTTCCCAAATTCCACAACTCCAAATTCCACAATTCCCAAATTTCTCAACCCTCAAATTTCACAATCCCCAAATTTCACAACCCCTAAATTTCACAATCCCTAAATTTCACAAACCCCATACTATACAGTCCCGAAATTCCTAAATTCCTAAATTCCCAACTCCCAAAATCCTCAAATTCTAAAATTCCCAAATTTCCAACAAGTGCTCATAACATCTAAAGTAACAGTAAAATACCAAGTCTGCTCCAAAAAAAAATCCTAGTTACGCCACTGCAGTTGCCTCGAATATAAAGCGTGATTAGGGTCAGGGTGAAGTTCACCTGCGAGGACGAAAGAAAGCTGCAGGTGGAGATGTTTGGAAATATTAACGACCGTGTGACTGGTTTCTCCAGATTTCACGATCCTTTTGGACAGGTAATACCCTCGGGATACACGAATAACACGGATTAAATGCAGGGTAAGGTTTCAAACAACCCGTCAGAAGAATTGATCATTGTACGGTGAAGGTAAAAATTTTACCATATTCATAAGCAGTCGCTTCTAATTAATCATCTAGTATGATTAATTATAGGAATGTAGTAAAATGGATCATTTTGCAATTTTTGATTGTGGACAGATAACAGTTTCTATTGATAATTTTTCTTGATAATTTTTCTTGATAATTTTTTAATATGAACTTCATGCTGGTTTAAGTAGAGTTAGTTTAAGTTTGAGCTGTACTAATTATCATCGATCTCATATGGTGTCATTGTTACAGAAATTAATTCAACAGAAAAGAACGCTGGTAATATGTAGATTTAAAGAAATTAAAAATGTAGATCACTGAATGAGAATAAATGAAAGTACCATTAAATGAGATAAAAGTAAACATTTAAGGAGCAAAATAAATTGAGGACAATGAAACCAATCAGGGCTCAGGAAGCAAACTAGCTAATCAACTGTAGAAAATGTGCATTCTGTCCATATCGACTGAAAACTTATCAACTGCATTGACTACAGCTGGCACAATCAATCGGAAAACTTTTGCGAAATTTCGGAAGTAATTCGAAGTTAATTGGTCTTGTAATTCGATTTATATTATACTCAATTACGGTAATAAAATAAATTGTATTAATTGAACTGAGAACGCGGCGCTATCTAGCGGTAGCTGTGAGAACTAATGAAAGTACAGTTTTAAAACCGTGTAGTTCACCCTGTTTGCCGCAGAGATGGCGCCACTTGTTCAATTTTTTTTTTTTTTTTAATTCAATTATTTTGATTTTATTGGTTTAATTAATTTCTATATGCATCAAATTGTATCAGAGTGTAAAATTAATCTTTGGAGTGTTTTGACTTCACTAAACCAGTTTTAATTTTAAGCAACTCTTATGTTAAAGTTACCAACAACTCTTATGCTAGCGGCAGAATGTAGGAACTAATTAAACTAAAGTTTGAAAAGTTCGTACACTATACTATGTCTCATCGGGAATATAGGAAATAGTCGACAAAAAGGAAAATAACAGTTGACGATGAAATAAAAATAAAAGAACGCGAAGCATCCAAAACAATACATATATTCTTAGCAAAGTACAAATGATGTATAAAACATAAAGATCCTGTAGTAAACAAACAAAAAGAAATGCAACAAAAGAAAAGTTCTTTGTTGAACACCTTTTGTACTAAATAAATCTCAGAAATATTAAGATGTGTCGTTTAAAATAATATAGTGCTAATTGCTTATGAAATTAATCATAAATAATAGTATATCAAAGTACATCTTTTTGTAACAATATTGTCAAAAACTAATTTAACTAGTATTTTCCAGTAATACTTCTTACAATAACGCAGTGACAAAGTTAAACAATCAGACTTTACGAACATATATCCTATGAAATTAACAATAATACAACGTAATATCGTCACGTTCAATCCCCAAATTCCAACAATGAATTAGCTTGAATTTTAGCTAATTATTAATGAACACTAACGTAATTAAAATATAATAGGAACAAACCTCATGCACATTGCAATTCCTTTCGATTTTCTAAATTTTAAAAAGATCTATTTCAGCGCATGAATTTCATGGCTCACATCATCCGCTTTACAATAATGCAATATCTTTCAAAAGTCACAAAGTAGAACAAGGAAAAAAAGTATAAATTTCAAACCACTCAAATCATCCAAAACTACTTCCAAATAAACACTGAAATAAAATAGTTTAATACATCCGTAAGATATCACATTATAAAATTGTGTCATAAGCAAGATTTTATAAAACCTATGTACGCCCCATAATACTCGGTATTAAACATATTTTATCAAAGTGTAAATGTTCAAAGGCACAACTACTTCGTTGAAAAAGTTACAATTTCTCAAAGTTATTTAAAAGCATTTAACTGCAATGAGAAACAGTCCTCTTTGATCGAAGTGATGAATAACGTTCCTGTTAAACTTTAGTATAGTATAATGAGTTTGGTCGTTTAACTTTGAAACACTTGGTGCAGTATGCACTCTCTGGCATACAAATATAATTTATTCTTCTCTGGCGCATTTATTCCATTTCGTATATTCTTCCTTCAACCGAGCATACGTATCCGAATTCCTATAACCCGGATTCTTCACGGTCTTATTGAATTTATCAACATCGTTAGCCGGCGCTTTTGCCATAGTATCCAGTACCACGTGCGGATTATCCTTAACAAAGCTCGCAATTGTCATTAAACGCGTTTCACCCGTCTTTTCAGACGTTTTACGCGGTGTCTCATACACGGAACACGGAATACGCGCAAAGTACTCTAATTCTGTCCTCTCGAAGTCTGTCAACGACTGCACAGTTCTCCATTTGATACTATCGATAAAATTATTAGGTCCTTTCTCGTGTACGTACTGCATAATCTTGTTCTTATCGTCTTCGGAAAGTTTCGATGGACAACGATAATAATATTTGTCGTCGTTTCTCTCCTTCCTCATATAATCCATCACCACGAAACTGGGTAAATCTCTTGTAGCATGGATTTTCTGGATGTCGTCGTATTTACGTATGCAGCAAAGACCAACGTAAATGGTGTTCGCGAGAGAACAGTCAGCGCTGAGTTCTACCTTTTCGTTGCTGATCGTTCGTCCCAAAGCCGCGTGATATGTCAGCGTGTACGGACGTAGAGGGAATTGATATAATTTTTTCTCGTATTTACCAAAAAGCCAAGCGCGCAAAGCGGGCAAAACCTGATAGTAATTTAGTTCGCCAACATTTATTTTAATCCTAGAATTATTTAGCAAGAAACGAATGGACAAACTGACAGAATTCTCAGACATAGATGTTATTTTTTCTAATACGACTACACTGTGAACTCCGTTCCGGTTAACGTGGTAATACTTGTATCCCTCTGCCAGTATCAGTCCTGAAAAGAATTTATCTCTCTGTTTTTTAGGGGTGGGTATCTTTTCCATTTTATCGGTGTAATACGGCACGATCAAGTAGTTTGTTTTCGATGCATCCAGGTAATCGACAAAACGGTGCAGTCGCTCCGTAATGTCTTTATGGAACTGAGACATGTACAGAACATCGAAGCGTTCTTCGGTGAAATACTTCGATCGGAAACAACAATACAGGTAGTAACGGAGGTTGAAGCGGAACGGCACCTCGTTCTTTGGTCGGTTCTGTTGTATCATTTTGCGAAACTGCGATAGCTTGTTGTTCAATGTTTTATCGAAGGATCGTTTGTGGGTTAATTTTCTGATCGTCATATCGTTGAACAGATTGATGATGTCGAAATTGGATCTGCTGTGAAGCGACGGTTTGAACATGGCGCTCAGTTGGATCTTGTTCCCGGAAAAAATTAGGTGTATGCCATGTTTCAGGGAGATTATGTACAACAAAAGTATCATGGTCGCAGATGGTAAAGTGCACGAATCCACGACGATAATGTTCGTGCCGGTATTGAGGTATTTTTTTGAATATAATATCAATTTGTAAAGCAGATCAATTTCGTCACTCATCGACGTGGTAAACAATTGAATCGCACGAACGTAATTTAAATTGAAACATCTAAGGTAAAAAGATATGTACGTATACACGGTAGCGCTACCTTCCAATTTCATCGCAATTTCGCTCGCCTGGTCTCTTCGGAAGGTGATAAACTGTACAGACTTTGCGAAAGTCTTTGTTATGGCAGTTAAAAGATACGTCTTGCCAGTTCCGCTTCGGCTATTTATCGTAACTACTGCGCCTTTATTTTTCGCGAATAAATCGCATATTTGCAGATACGCTTGCTTCTGTTTGGTTGTCAAATTATTGTAATATTTTGAGTAGCTCTTATTTTGCAAGTCTACTGAAGTGATACTGGAATGTGAGAATTTGGCATCGATATCATCATCTGTATCGCTACTGTAAGCGTCGCTGTCAGTTTCATCTTCGTACTCGACGTCAGAGTCCCGCGCAGAATTACTGACGTACCTTTTTATTTGCTGATCTTCAAAAGTAGCAATTTTGTAATCCATCTATATTAAATTGAAACGATTAATGTCATTAATAAAACGTAAATTTACTGTAGCGTTGTTTTCTTACCTTTAAGTGCTTGTAGTTTATTTCTCTATTTTGTTAATGTCTTCGCACAAAAATATGATTGAACCTTTTGCATTCCAACGAGTGAATGTCTGTAACAACAAAATTATAAAATTAGAACGATATTGTGACAGTCGTTTTTTGTCAAATAGCGAACTTCGAAAAAATTCAAAAAATTCTTTAAAAAGTTTAAATAATTTAGAGTAAATATTTATAATACGTATACTATTTAAAATACTACAAATATTTAAAAATATTATTTATACTCTATCCTTGCAAAATTTAATTGATTTAATTGGTCAATGATCGTGTGTATCCAGATCAGTAGATCTTGATTGATGTTAGCCGTTCCTAGTTTGTATGACAAATTATATTCGCCGAGGTAGGTATTCGAGGAATTGCTTGTGCTTATCTCACTTTAGTTTTGCTTGTATCGAGTTGCGTCAGAGACGAAACTATACGACAGCGAATACAGAATGAAAGACGTTCATTTAACCTGCATAATTTGAATTTATTGAGAAACTATCAGCAAATTTGATTAAAATCCCGTAAATATGAAGGGAAAAATAACAATGTCGTTTTTCATATCCAATTGAAAATTGCTGAAAATAATTTGAGGATACTATATTCTATATTATACATACTATATTCGCTTAAAAATTTCATTTAAATTACTTAAATTTTATTTCTGAGAAAAAGATGAATTTTTGCTACGCATTGAAGTCACCATATTTCTTAAAGTAACGATTATTATTTGTAACGGAAATATCACTATTGAAATATTAATCAGAAAAAGCTCAATTAAATTTGAATATCGTCGAAACACAGTTAAATCAGTTTTTCAGAATTATTTGTATGGAGTAACGTTTTCGAGCCTCACCCCCAAATACGTTCGAAGAAGTCACGTGATAAGAATAACGAATAACGCAATTGATAATAAACAAATATGACCATGAAGAAAATGAAAACTTCATGGGTCATGGGACTTCTAACGGTACACCTAAAAGGTTTCGAAAACAAACACTTTCTGTACTAAAAACTACAACCATCAATTTTCAAATTATCAACCGATTGGTACTAATAAAATAGAATATTTAAAAAACCGAACAAAAATTCTTGATATTGTGAACTGTAATGGTAATTTAAATTTTTTTAATGAAATCATTCGATGCCATCGAAACGAAACAATAAATTCATTTGATTTTTCTGATAACTAACCACAGCTAAGAATGCATAAAACCATTAGTATTTTTAATAACTCAATCTTAATGGCTTTATGAAACATTGTATTTTCCAATAATAAAAATACATATAAGATATAACTCGATTACTGTAAATTGTCCTTTAACTTATCTGTGCATGATACGTTCAAGAACGTCACTATAAACATAGTAGTAAACGGGACTTCCCAGCACTTTATATTACAATTTACCAAGTTTCAGTTTAACAAGCAACTGCATTAAAAATATTCCCAACTCCTTGCATAAAACTTTTAAAATTATTGAATTTTAAACTTAGTATTGACTAAGAAAACCATGCAATATTTACTGATTTAATGTAAATCTAATATAATGTAAAGAAACGTTTGATTCAAGTTGAAACAATAAATGCTTATAATAAGCGACAGAAAATGTATCTACAAAATTATTTGTACAAATTGAACACATTTTGTAACACTACATTTTCAGAAACATAGCTTTATTTTCTGTAACATTCAAATTCAAGTTAGTTTATAGACACTCACTGCACAGTATCCACTACGGCTACAGTCAATCGAAGCTCATACGCGCTCTACGAAATTATGCGACTGAATGATTGAATGCGTTGTAATTGCGTTCTTTTAACGAGAGGGCGCTGAATCATTTCAAATATGAGTTCGTGGCGTTGCATGAATGTTCTGACAAATGAAACGGTCTATCGATATCTCAAACTAGTTAATAAATGTTCATTTTTTCTTCTAAACAATCTTTTAGTATGTAGGTATGATTCTAAACAATCTTTTAGAAAAGCAATTCTTAAATTGTTAAGTTGTATTATTTTTTATCATTTTTACAAGAAAAGTATTTTATTTTATATGAATGAAATTGACTAACGAATAAAAATGTCTATAACTGTTTTAATCCTCCATTATTTTAAATTAACTAAAAATTCTGCCATTGGCAGTCCTCGAACAATGGACCTATATGCCACCCCTCATTGGATCGATTATCTTAATACATGCTCAACGAAGTATCAATCATTCAGGTGTTATCGCTGTAGTCTAAATAATCTATTCACCCGAAAAATTTTATCGTTCCTTGATGTAATTGTTTATACTAATACAATTGAATGTATGGATGATAGGCTTTCTTGTTTAGGTTTTCGACTTCGAAACGGGAGTTGATATGTGCCTAAACAGCTCGCTTATATTTAGAATTCCCATAATATTTTAAATGCTAAAATATTTAAAAAAATATTATTTAAAATATTATTTATACTCTTTCATTCGTATCATTCCTTCATATACTTTAAGTTTGAAATATTAAAAAAAGGTTTATACCGTGTTAATCATAAATAAATTTTAGAGTTGAAAATATTTATTGCAATTTTCCTTTTCAAAATGTTTGAAATATTATTATTGATTAAATATGAAATATTACTCATTATTAGCATTACCTGTGAGATTTCAAAAAAAAAGGAAATAGTAGAAGAGCTCTACGAAAATTAGCACCTCGCAAAATATTTAAAAAATGATACGCCATTATGTTCGTCATAGAAAATTCCAAAATTCTCGGGATTTTCGTTTTGCATTGTTCTTTCGTTCGTGGAAAAAACGTTGGTACTGGCGTGACAACCTTGCGAATTATGTTCTATATTCAGTATCGTTCTATTATGTCAGCTCACGTGTTGAACCTATTGAATCAGCAATATACATACATATATGTATACTGATAGTAGTACATAGTGATAAACGATATGATCAGATTGGTTTACAAGGATATGGTAACAATAAAAGATTCTGGAGTCTGGAATAAAGAAGTAATCACTAACTTATCAGATTGATAAAAGTTAATCTGACAAATGGAATGAAGACAAGTACAAAATTAATTGAATTATCACAAATACAGGATTATACATAATAATAATTAGTCATTATTTGATATGAATAATTACCCAATTCAAATCAGTCAAAAAGATGAACGTAGAATAAAAATTGCACACTACGATAATTAATATACGACAAATTTTCAGGAAAGCAATCTCGACCTGATTATCATGTATTGAAAACTATGTATGTAATTTTACATTGCGTCAGACGTTTTTATTTCATAACTTGTTTTCCCCGCAAGCAAGCATATAATCAGGTTTTCCCTCGTTCGCATATGAAAAAACATTATCAATACAGTAAATCTTATCGGGATTTCCAAAACAAATGAGTTTTATCTTAGAATCACTCTGGCCAACTACGACTAACTTCAATAAATGTTGGCAGTATGACCAACAATAAAACTTTTAACCTGAATGCATTAACGCATAGTAAACTAGAGGCGACACTTGCTGTCGGCGCCTCTGTTCTCTCGAAAATGCTGTACAAACAAGCAAAATTGAAAATTTAAATCGAGCAAATATTTTGTGTATTTCATATAACATCAGTTCTTTTCCTTATTCACATATATTTGTCCACCACATACGTATAAAACTGATCGTATATATATAAAATGGTATGCTAGAGAGACAACTCTAGGTGAAGGCGAGCCTGCTGAAGTTAGCCGAGTTGCATGAAAGAGGTTGGTTTCTTATTGAACGGAATATATGTTCGCATTGCATATCAGTGAAAAACTAGTAATATCTGATATGTTTTTCTCGCAATGAAATTTGATATTTCCATTGCCGAATTTACAAAAGAGGCACAATTTTTAGTTGATAAACTCTTTTTCGTAAGTTTACACATATGAAATATGAGAATTTGAAATATTGATATTGTAACTATATTGAATTTACCCTGTTTTAGGAGACATAGTTACCAATCTAAGCATTTAACTACAAGGGTATATGTCTTTTCAATTTCCACATGGACATCAGGCTTTTATTTACGACTGGTAATTTGACAGTCGTTTTAAAATTTATGAAATTCTAAAATATGGAAGAGACATCCTGTACAGAACAGTTAACGGAAAACACAGGTTTTAAAACATATAATTTAGTTAAAGTAAAATGGACGTATAACTCACCAAATTTATTTTATTACAGACATCAATCAAGATGAGTTAATTCTTCAGCAGCAAAGGCGAATTGAGATGGAGGTTAATATTCACTTCTTATTGCTTTTAAAATGTATTTATTGAAAACTGCTCTGTCAGTTAGCAATTACTGTTTATTTAAAAATTGTTTAATATTATTCAATCATTGTTACTAGTATTCATTCTTGTTTTTTGTTTTGTAACTTTTATAAACATATTATTTTATTCTTTGATTTATTTTAAATTAAAATACAATTATTATAATTTGATCGAATAGATCATGGTAATTTAATATTTTTATTTATTATTCTTCTAGTTAATATTGATAAAGAATGAAAAAATATTGATTTTTCAGATCTCCGAATCTATTGCTTTGGTTGGAGAAAAAGAACCTATTAAAAGTTTAGAACGGGAATACCCAGAAGATGAAGTGTATCTTTCAAAAGCTAAAGCATTGGGTCAAAAATACTCATACATTAGAAGAACCAGACCAGATGGAAACTGCTTCTTTAGAGCTTTTAGTTATGCATATCTTGAAAAATTAATTGGAAATAAAGATGAATACGAAAAATTTAGAGAACTTGCATTAAAAAGCAAAGATAACTTAGTAGCATTAGGCTTTCCCCAATTTACTGTTGGAGATTTTCATGATACGGTAAATATATTTATTGACAAATATTATAATAATAAGATTGCAACATACTTGCAGTGCTTTATTTATAAAAAAGAATTATTCTTTTGATTTTAAATTATAGTTTATGGATGTAATTGATAAAGTAGGAGGGGATGCAGAGTCAAGCTACATTGAATTACATAAACTTTTTAACGAACAAGGTTGTTCTGATTATGTTGTTGTCTATCTTAGATTAATTACATCCGGTCAATTAAGAAGCGAAGCTGATTTTTATCAGCACTTTATCGAAGGAGAACGTACAGTTTCAGAATTTTGCCGTCAAGTAAGAGTTATAAACATTAATTTACTTAACTGCTTTGAATGAACAAAAGTTATTTGTACAAAAAAATATTGATAAAACTAGCAGTGAAAACAGCAGTTAATATTGTTCATAACTTTAAATGAAAATAGATTCTAATTTATATGTGTTTCATATTGTAATCAAGTTCATTTAAATCATTAAAAACTATTTGGTTTTGTAGGAAGTGGAACCAATGTACAAAGAGTCTGATCATATTCACATTATAGCAATGAGTACTGCTTTAGGTACTGGAGTACGTGTTCGGTACATGGATAGAGGTGCTGGAACTGAAGTAACTGCACATGATTTTCCTGAAGGTGCTACTCCAGCAGTTCATTTATTATATCGTCCTGGTCATTATGATATTTTATATCCTTGATAAATTGTATGTTACGATTTTTTGGAAAGTCTCTTTCACAACAAGGATTTAATTATTTAGCAAATTGTATCTTGTGTATGTAGTCAAAATTTATAAAACTCTTATTTGGTGAAACGTCACAGCACTATCTTTTTACATAATTAATTTAAACATTATAGAATACATAATATAAGTATAAAATTTTGTGTAAAGAAGAAAATGTATTTACATAGATACTGTATCTTTTTAAGAAGATACGAATTTGTCATTTACTAATAATTGTATCAAATTCTTTTCAAACTCAGGTTATGAATTAAGTACATCAAATAAATAACAAATAATTTAACAAGATATTTATTATTTTTTATCTTTCAATTCACTATTAAACATAAATCGTCGTATACGCATATGGATACACATACACACTCACACATGCATTTATATTTGCAGAATACATTATGCATAAATTTAAGTCAGAATTGAAAATATTTTGTCAAAAAAAAATATGAAAAGGTACAGAATTTAGATACTTTAAGGAAATCTTTAATAATATATCTCATAAAGAATAAAATTTAAAAGTCAATTACTGTAATAGATGTATTTATACTAATAATAAATAAATTCTATAAAATATTTCTTACACAATGAACTAATTACATGTAATTCGAAATTATTAAGTTTATATAATTACAAAATTAATATCAAGATCAAATAAAATACTAACATATAAATAAATCTATTAAAAGTATATGATAAACTATACACTGTTCATAAAATTAAGGTAAGTATTTATTATAATTTATCTTTGCATGGCACGTACTTGTTCAGTAACTTCTTCTAAAATCATAGAACTTCTATTAATAGATTCCATTTGATATTCTAAGTGAGTTGTTATAAGAGCAATTTTTTTTAAGTTATTTTCTGCAGTTTCTAATCCATGTTCTTGTTGTGCAAAATTTTTTGCACTATGCAACAACATCTGCAAATTGTCCTTCAATGAAAAAAGAAACTGATGTTTGTATAAAATTTATGTAACAAAATATTACCTCACTACTTTTTGAACCTCTCTGTATTTGTCTTGCAAGGGATGCAATATTGTTTACATTAACTTGTACTCTATCAGCTAATCTCATTTTTGACTCAACGAATAAACTACGAGCACTTGTACTTGAAGCTGAAGCCATACTGCAGCAGTGTTTAACAATTCTATAATAAATTTTTCATTTATTTTATTTCAAAGTTCATATTCTTGTTTTCTTATTTGTTATACAATGAAGAAGTTACTTAAAGTGTTATATTACCTGTGATTACACACTAATAACTTAGAATAATATTAATTTTCTATGTCAATATATATTACAGAATTTAGTAGTGTATTTAAAATTTATAGTAGAAGCATATTTAAATAGGATCTTGGAATGTTTTTTCTCCTTTTTGATACTGTGTGCTTAGAATAATAAATGTCTATTAGTACAAACAAGATATAAAATGAGCACAAACATGTTTATACCTAATGCACTCAGATATGATACAGTATCGCTAATTGCACGATTTTTAGAATAAACGTTTCCACTATGTGGGTCGTTTCTAAAAACCAGTTTTCACTTTTCGTTTTACATACTTTTATTTTTCTTTTGTTTTGCAATTGGTAATTTATTTGTTCCTAGGAATTTTTTGGAAATTTTACTGCAACCACTGCTCTTAGTTATATTGCGCATTTTCTACACGCAACGCGTTACACTTCACGCGCTTCTTTTAAACACGATTAATTTCAACCACTAAGCATGTTGTAATATTTATTACCAATTTTAAAATTCCTTCTTGATATTGCAATCTCAATATAAATACATAGACATTTATCGATAATTGTTACCAAATTGTCGATAAATACGATTTTATAAGAAATTCAATATACGAATGAAGGTAAACTTTAAAAAGCATGTCGGAATGAGAATTGTACTCAGGATTCAGAGGAATTAATCAAATTCAATTAATAAAGTACAATGTACAGTAGTGTACAATTTATTTTTAATCTAAGAATACAAATTATATTTTCATAGACATGTATATCATATTTTTACAGTAGCAAATGGAATAATCCTGAATGAGATAAAGATGGTAGTACTCTGTAAGAAGTGATCAAAATTATTCTTTAGTTAATCATTTTAATTACTCTGTTGTTGTGGCTTTGACCAATCCACATTCAAAATAAGATGGTCATAACCATAGCCATTAAGTCTACTAATAGCTTTTCCAGCATCTGCTTTATATTTGAAATGTACATATGCAAATCCTTTACACAGATTTGTTTGCTTATCTTTAGCAAGGTAAAATTTAAGGACAGAACCAAATGGCTTGACAAGCTCATCCAAGTCAGCATCTGTAGTACTCTCTGACAAATTAGAAATACGAATAGCTGTTGTATCATCCCTTCTTTGCATCTGCATCGAGTCTCCGCGTTTATTGGCGCCATCGCGCATACCAGGTGGTACATATTTGCTTCCTTGAGGTTTCAAATCTGTCATTGCTCCAGGAGCACCAGTAGTAGTAAGTGGTTTCTTATCATCTGGTACTTTTCCTGATAATTCAATTTTATGAAATCAATAGATATAAATTATTTCTTTTTACTCAAAATCAATTCATAACAATAAAACATACCTCCAGCAAGGACTGTGTCCTTGTAAGGACACTTTGATGTCCAATGGTCTCCATTACAATTACGGCATTTAACTACACCTTTATCTCCCATATTCTTTAATTTATCAAGATTATCCTCTTCAACCTTATTTTCTTCTTCTTTGCTAGAAATGAATTGCATGAAAACATCTTCACCACCGACTGTAGTAGCAGGATTAGGTCCAGGTCGATCATCTGCTGAATCTCCAAATTTAGCCCAATTTTTACGTGCAGCAATTGTCTTTGAAACTACACGTCTTTCAATTTTGTATGTACGAACCACTTTGACCTTTTTATTGTCTTGGTTGTATTTATATTCAGTAAGAATTTTGAATCCATTCTCATAGGTTTCTGAAGGAGGAGGTAATGCTCCTCCCTCTTCTTCTACCTCATCAGCCCAACTGGATTTTGCTTCTGCTACTGGCATATCTTAAATTTATATAAACAGTAATTTTAATTATGTTATACAAATAGAAAGTATGTTAGAAGTATGGTGTAATTGTGATAATTAAGCTATGCATATTTATGCACTTAAAATGTTATAGTAGAAATATATAATAAATGAACATATGTAAAAATATAACGACAGTTTCTCTTTTGATTTCGTTTCTTTGTATGAACTCTATGAACATATGTATGATCTGTACCAATGTCAATAGTCCAACAATAATTTATAGGTTACGTGGTTGAATCAATTTATATCTATTGTCTTGTAGACAATATTCAGTGGTGTTAAAATTAATTAATCATAGTCAAATGTTTAAAACGAAAGTAGACAATTAAAAAATGAAATATTCTTTCGTACAATAATGTATATTGTCAAACGTTCATGTATCGAAGCAAAAATGACAATTAGTGATAGAAGAATATTTAATTTTCTTTTCAATTTTACTCGGTTCGTTTGCGTGTAACTTAGAATATATTGAATATACTACCTTCAACAATTGCAATTTGAAGCAATCACAAAAAGGACCAATATAAATAAAGAGTGACAAGAAAGCAACTATTCTCATGAAACTCAACCGAAATGGCTGAAATGGAAGAATTTCCGCATGTGGTAAGTTGGAGTGTCAGCGACTCTGGTGGTGATCCTACCAAGCATGATTGCTCCGGAATTAATGGCGACGTCTAGCGTTGTCGTGTTCAGAGTGTGAGAAAATAATGTTTTGCGGAGGCGTACTTCGATTGTGCACGAAAAAGCATTAACAAAAGTAAAAAAATAGACGCAATTGAATTCAGTGTGAAAATAAAAAAAGTATTCACGATAATGGACCAGGCACCTGCAGGTAAGAAAAGAATGTTGTGATCTGACGATTTGGCCAAGCGCGGTTTTGCACATTCCCACTCCGGGCGAGCATATTAACGTTCGATCTTTTTTTATTAATTGTAATACTTGTGATCCGTCGTTTTAGCATTTTAGTTAGTCAGAATTGAGAACCCGTGAATTTTCACATAATAGATGTAATTAGATATGTTAAAGGAAAGACAAAATGTAGATTCTAAATAGTAGGTTATGTAAACCTCTGCACATTCTGTAATATTATTAGGCTATGATTAAAAAACAAAGAAAGAACTGTTCACTCAATGAATTTAATTATTTCTCAGGCAGATCCCCATAGATACATTAACGATGCAATGAGTTTCAAAACAGATTCAATATTTCAGGTTACGATGGGCTGATTTAGGACTGCATACTTTAAAAATAAGAGATCCTATTTCAGTACTGTATTTAAATACTCTATTGTAATCATTTATATTGTAATAATTGTATAAGTAATTCATAATTACTTGGTCACTGTGCTAATTCTGTCCTTTTTGGTATAATACCCAGATACAGAGTTACGGAACATCATAGACAAGCTGGCACAGTTTGTGGCTCGCAATGGACCAGAGTTCGAGCAGATGACGAAAAACAAGCAGAAGGACAACCCAAAGTTTGGTTTCCTGTTCGGTGGAGAGCACTTCAACTACTATCAATACAAAGTGACTACAGAGCAAGCCAGTAAGTGGGATACAGCCCCTTAACAGCTACAACAATTGAGAAGCATAATGGCCATGCTTTATTCAACGAACAACGAATGACTTTGAAAAAGAGATACGGGTGAAAGGGTCTGAATTCGTCATAGCGAACAAAACTATTATTCATCGAATATGAGCACTTCGTTTCAAGATTTTGGGATTGCTATTTATTAAGCAGAATGCTTTAGCTAAAGATGTATTCTATTTCTTGGCAATGGTGAATTTTAAGAAGATGTAGTTTTAAGATTCTTACTGGAGCTTATCTAATACGGACTACGTTGTTGATATATTGCTTCAATCTATGTGGGAAATACAGTCCATTGTACCCTGTAATACCCTAGTACTGTAAAAAAAAAGTAAAAAAATACATGTATATATATTATATAAAACAGGGAAAGAGTATAGGGCTCCCAAAAGACTTACTGAATTTTTGATATAATTCTCTCATAAATGCTAAAAAAATACATGTATATATATTATATAAAACAGGGAAAGAGTATAGTGCTCCCAAAAGACTTACTGAATTTTTGATATAATTCTCTCATAAATGCCAGGAATTTTATTATGCACTGGTAGAAGATAAGACTCAACAGAAATTGGACTATTTGTATACTTTTTCAATATCCATTGAAGGAATAAAACATCTTACAATAATCCACCGTCATTCGTTTACAGTTTTAAAGCAAAAAGGAATAAATCCAATGCAAAATGCAGACCCACGTTTAAACGTTTCGCAGCAGCAGCAAACAGCCGCTACCGTCGCGCAGCCACTGAATAACGTCAATCTTGCACCTGGCCTAAATACTCAAAACAATGGATTAAATCCAGTAGTGGGGATTGGACCAGTTGGAAATCAAGGTGGTCCCGTTATACCTGGAGTACCAGGACAGATTGGAGGGCCAGGAAATGCAGGACCAATTGGACCAGTGCCTGGTGCTATGGGAGGTGTAAATCCACCTATTGCTGGTGTTACTCAACCGGTTAACATCAGTGGGCCCCCTGGATGGCTTCAAAATGAATTGGCAAATCTTCAATCACAGCAGACCACGCTACAGGAACAAGTTAGACAATCAGAACAAAATCTGGCTGCGCAACATGCTGCATTGATGGCACAACAACAAGGGAGAGTTGAGGATGCTGTGAGACAAGCGCAAGAGACAGCTTTACAAAATAGTGCGCAAAGCACAAATACGGATTTGACTGCATTTGATGCAGTTCTACAGCCCATCATTGATAGCTGCACAAAAGATAGCATCAGTGCGGGGAAAGCCTGGATACTTCAGAACTCTGTTACTCCACAAAGTAATCAAGTTGTTGCAGACCATTTACTAAAGAAGTATGTTTTTCTTAAACATCAATTGCGTCGTGTTAAAAATGTATCAACTACATTTAAATATTTCTTTCAGAGTAATTCAGGCAACAAATTTTAGTCATAAACTCCATATCATCTATTTGGTCAACGATGTCTTGCATCACTGGTAAGTAGATTTATTTAAAAATCATTTGCAGATTTTGTACTATTCATGTTAACTGAAAAGTGTATGTTTTAAATTATAATGTACCGATCGAAATTATGAAATTCAGTAGTATTTAAAATTGTAGAATTTGATAATTTCCGTGAAATGCGTGAACACGATATTTAATTTTAAACTTCTTTAGTGCAAGAAAAAAATCTATGGATCTTCGCAAGGCAATGGAAAGTGTTGTTGTTCCCATGTTCTGTAACACTTCATTAGCGGCGTCAGAAGAACAACTTAATAAATTAAATAAACTATTAAGCTTATGGGAATCAAAAAATAATTACTTTGATGAAGGAATTATAGATAAGTTGAAACAACCAAGTACATCTTGGTCTGAGTATCAGGCTAACCTGGTTGCACAACATGCTGGTGCAATTACGCCAATTACCACGTCGACAAAGCAGACCTTTGATAATTATCAAGCACAACATCAAGCGTTTGTCACTCATGCTTTAAGACAAATTCAAAATATTGAGCAGCAAAAAATAGCCATTGATCAACAATTGAAAGCTCCGCCGCCACCTCCACCACAATTGGTAAGTGCCGGCGAACTTCTGTCGGCTTCACATCTGTGCATTTAAGAGATATTAACAAAAAATATGACACTTTACAGAATCAGCAAAATATGTCTATGCCACCTAGTCATTCCGGCCCTCCTGCTCCAATAGGCACAGATGTAAATTTCAGTCAACCACCGCCTGGATGGGGCGTACCTCCTGGAAGCGAACCACCGCCATTTTCGAATGTTCCCTTGCCAGATTTTTCGAAACCTCCACCTGGATTTGGTCCACCGCCCGTTATACACGAGCCTTCCGTTGAAGATTTAATGCCCAGTATGCCTTATTATGAACTTCCTGCTGGTTTGATGGTGCCTCTAATCAAATTAGAAGATGCTGAATATAAACCTTTGGACCCGGAAGCTATTAGACTTCCACCACCTGCTCCTCCAAGCGAGCGATTAGTAGCAGCTGTAGAAGCATTTTATGCTCCTCCTAATCATGATTCTCCGCGGGATAGGTAAGTTTATAATATAAACTATGTGTACATAAAAAAAGAATTATGAGAATAGTGAACAACATTTTAACATACAATGCATGAACGTTACAGCGATGGATGGGAAAAGTTAGGTTTATACGAGTATTATAAGGCAAAGAACGCTGCGCGTAAGCGTAAAGAAGAGGACATAGCAGCCGGTCTTAGGCAAAAATCAAAGTCGCCTTCGCCAATTCTCAGGCCAAGATCCAAAAGTCCTAGTCCACCAAAGAAACGATATCGAAGTAAATCACGAAGTAGGTCGCGTTCGAGATCGAGGGGTCGAAGCAGATCCAGATCGCCTGCAGCCAATCATAGACGCAACAGTCGCAATAGTAATTATAATAACAGAAGCAGGAGAAGGAGAAATAGCAACAAGGATCGAAGTCCTGACAGGAGAATGGACAGGCAAGATCGAAGTCCGACACCACCTAGTTTTCTGTAAGTATAAATGTCCTACTATAAAATATTGCCAACAAAAATCACAAAGTCAATAATCGTATCAAATGGGTTAACTTTTAAAGTATGAAACCTAAACTTTGTTTACTTTTCTGGGAACACCGTGGTACTCGCTACATGCTTTAATGGTTAATTCCAAGTATTATTAAAGTGTAACGAAAAGTTTGGTTCTCACAAATTACTTAATTCCAGCGGATCAACTTATAGTAAAGCTCCACAAGAAATTAGTCTGGATGAGAGCAACAAGGGTCATCAGTTGCTCAAAAAAATGGGCTGGAGTGGTGCGGGACTCGGTGCCAATGAACAGGGTATCGAAGCACCTATATCGGGGGGTGAAATTAGAGATAAAAATGATCAATATAAAGGCGTTGGTATTAATTTAAATGACCCTTACGAGAACTTTAGGAAAAGTAAGGGTCAAGCATTTATTACTAGAATGAAAGCAAGAGCGGAAGAGCGTGCCGAAGAGAGGGGCGAACGGGACTAAATATAATCAAGTAAACTAATTAATTTGTCTATATCTCTTTCGACGAAATATAATTATTGCGTGCAGCATTATCCAATGATCGACATAATTGTTCACTCGGGTGACAACGGAGGCTTCCTTTGGATAAAAACTAGCGTAAAAGGAGGAGACTCGGGGATCAAAAACATTTCAATAAAACATTTCAATGTCCTCTAATTCCTACATTTCTAAATTTTTCTAAATCCCCATATCCTCAATTACTAAAAATTGTTTTCAGATTTCAAATTTCTTAATTTCTAAATCCAAAAAACATTAAATTAAAATTCTAAAATCCTCAAATTCCCATAGTTAAAAAAAAGTAGAAAAACTAACACGCGACGATTCCTTTTCTCCCTACGCCGCCATTTTTCCTAGGGAAGCTTACGATTCCCCCGTCAGTGTTTATTGATCTTAGCACTGTTTCGATAGTAGCGTAATCAATATTTTACACCTTTCATCGGATTTATCGTGGCACATTGTAATCGTTTACAATCGAAATCGTGATTATATACACTGATCTACGTTATACAATTTTATATTGTCGTCAGAAAAATACCAATGGATTATTTTTTATTTGAATACCACGAGGAAAGAGAACTATCATTTCCATAGTGTGTCGATCATTCGAGAGCATAAATCATTGTCTCGTTTGTACATCTTCGTGTGAGGAAAATATCACGAGTGAATGTTGAAAATGAGAATAATTGTTTATAAAAGAGAAAAAAAGAAAACGATTGCTTGTCAATTTATAAACAAGACAAGAGTTACGTAAGTTTACGGTTATCGTATACACTCGGAACGACTGTTATTTACTAGATCGAATACCGATGATGCATACGCCCGAAAATGAAACACGATTGTATGCATCCATTGTACATTATGTACAAAACTATTGAATGTTCGGCAAGGTTACCGCTAAATGACGATAGCTGATTTTGTTTATTTACAATTTTCAGACATCTCGACGATAACGTAATTTTAAACATACAATGATCAATTTATCAAAATCGGCCCATCGTATAATCCTCTCGCGAACCGAGCGGCATAAGATTTATTTTAATTGTAAATCGAGGCGACACATTGACTAAAAGTTCCATTCAGCTCCTGTATGAAATTATGATCTAATCCGAGAAACGTTTCGTTGCGGAAATAAAATGAATTTTTAATTCGTGCATCAATCGTTTGCACGTGGAACTAAAGCGTACTTGTATTTAGTAAGTTAATAAATGGTTATATTGGATACATTAAAAACAACTGAACGAACAGATGCCTGTGTGTTGAGCTGGAAGAAAAAAGACAAGTTACACGGCGAAAGCGTGAGTAATTAAAAATTACCACGTATTCGTCGCATGTTCTCGACGTGCACTCGTTAAATCGCGCAAGAGAATTACTAGGGAAAAGCTGTCGAAGAAAATGAATTTAATTGCCTTCAAGATAGATACAGAGTAATGTGTTCTCGGTTTCTTTCTGCATTTCTTTTTTATCGTCGACCATAACGCGCATGCAGATGAAAAAAGAAGTGTTATAAAAATGTTCGTAACTGGCTAAGAACGACTCGGTGTCCGATGGCACTGTTTTAATCGGGAGTTGCCTTCTTGAACTCCCCCAGCGACAGTTGATATCGAAACCGAATAAATCCACCGTCAAACCGGTTTCCTACGATAACAGTTGGAATACACGCTTGGTGGAGTAAACAAAGCCAGAACGATTGTGTGCGTTCTTTAACAAGAATCCTACAAGGCCGTAACAGCTTTGATATTCTTTCTACATCACGTGATATTTTTCAAGTGAAACTTTTCTGGCTATGACTTGCGGGAGGGTCGATCACCGGATACATTGTTTCATCATTTCGCAAGCTAATTTTTAAACCTTATTATTATCAAATTAAATCCAAATTTATAAATTTACAAATTATTAAATTTTCAAGTTCTGAATCGTCGAATTTCTGGATTTTCAAAAATTTCAGTTCTCCAATTTCTCAGTTTCGAGCTTCTCGAAATTTCCAGATTTTCGAATTTGCAGATCATTGAATTCTCAAGTTCCAAAATTCTCAAATTTTCAAACTCTCAAATTCCCAAATTCTCAAATTTTCAAACTCTCAAATTCCCAAATTCTCAAATTCCCAAACTCTCAAATTCCCAAATTTTCAAACTCTCAAATTTCCAAACTCTCAAATTCCCCAACTCTCAAGCTCTCAAATTTCCAAACTCCCAAATTCCCAAACTCTCAAATTCCCAAACTCCCAAATTCCCAAACTCTCAAATTCCCAAACTCTCAAATTTCTAAACTCTCAAATTCTCAAATTCCCAGTCTCAAATTCCCAAATTCTCAAATTCCCAAATTTTCAAATTCCTAAACTCTCAAATTCCCAAACTCTCAAATTCTCAAATTTTCAAACTCTCAAATTTCCAAACTCTCAAATTCCCCAACTCTCAAATTCCCAAATTCTCAAATTCTCAAATTCCCAAACTCTCAAATTCCCAAACTTCCAAACTCTCAAATTCTCAAGTTTCCAAGAAATAAAAATTTCCAAATTTTCAAACATTCACAAAAATTCCTGAATCCTCAAATTCTTAAATTCACAATTCCTAAATTTAACAAATCCATTAGGATTTTCCGTTCCCAGAATTCTAATTAAAAACAGACGATCGAATTTTTGCAATTTGATTGTCTTTAACTGTTGCGTCATTTGATTTTCCCATGAGAAATTGCATGTCACGATGTTCGTAACGTCGGTAGATAACTCTTCCCCGAAATTACCAAAGATAAATAATTATACTCCAGGAACATTGAATTTGATAATGAATCTGCAATATACAACGCTGCCACTTCTCCTTGATAAGACAGCTGTATGAAAGACAAAGGTCATAGTTAAAGAGATCAACGAATCGAAAAATTTCAGATGTAAGCAAATATTTTCTTTTTTTTTTATTAATCAATGCCTTGAAATATAATCTTACTGATATGGGTAACACGTAATATTTACAGTATTTGAATTTTTTTTAATTTTACTATTTTATCTCTTTGTTTGTATATTTTGTAAAAACATACTTACATTGTTTTTAAAATTTTACTGTTTGCGATCAATTTTACTGTTTTGTTACATTTCTACTCTACCATTTTTAATATTTTCTATTTCACCACATTTCATTGTTTTACTATCTTGACCATCTTCGTCAGATATTTTTATTTTCCAATCAAATTTTAAAGAAATTTCTCAAAAATTCCTAATGTGCATTAATTTCGTAATAGACGTCAGGAACATAAAGTCAAAACATATAAACACTGTTCAAAACATTTTCTGGAAAATCCACCCTACGGTACCCTACAACCAGTAAGTTCACAGTCTGAAGAAGGGTAAACTTTACCGATTCGCGCCAAGTTATAAGACACAGTGCAACACCAGGTATAAGACGCACGGTAAACTCTTTATACAAATTATATTTCTTATGAGTCTATTTTGCATCTTGAAGACTATGTAAAAAGAACTGTCTACGCTCGTGGGAAACGTTTGCGTGCGTTTACAGTCGTCTGATGCAGCACGTTTAATAACAACGTGACACTGGACTCATAAAAGTATGCAGTGATAAAAAGTAGATTACGTCGACGATTTGACAACAGCATTCAAGCATTGAATGCTCGTGTTTGCTGTGAAAGTGTTATTTTTAGAGCTTGATGTTTAACTTTATGTAGATATTCTTAGAATGGAGTTATCTATTAGCGAAAAATTAGTTGGGTAGAAATTTAGTTTTGGGATTTAAGGCTGAGATTTGAATATTTGTGAATTTGGGAAAATGAGAAATTTAGGACTTTACTTGGAAATTTTTTAGAAGTTAAAATTCGAAAATGTTCAAATTTGGAAATTAAATTTGATCTCGAATATGAATGCAAGAATTAGTAATTTGATATTGAAGCAATTTAGAAATTTGGGAATTTAAAAATCTGAAAGGTTATGCAAACTATAATATAAGAATATTTTATATAAAATATTAATATATTTATGTTATATAAAAAATAAATTTCGATAAATTTACTTACTAGCAATTTTAAACAGCAATATTAAAAATCATAGATATGACGTTTTTTGTCTTTAATGATTCAGTATGTCCTCATTTCTACTGTCAGTGTGTTAATAAATCTCATTAAGGTGTTCTATACACGGTTCTGTGCTAGATAATGTGTTAATCATTTTTTTAATTTGACGTTTTAAAAACACCTTGTAACCTTTTTCTTGAGCTAAATTTAGCTGGACCTGTTTCATTTAGAATAAGTTAGCAAAAGGTAATCTATAACGTAGTGGAAGTTATGCACTTTGACATTTCATTAACGAAGCTATCTAATTTTGCATCCTTGATATGCGGCTTGTAGAGTGTCCATAATACTGCTGATTATCTACAAATATCACAATTATGAAAGACCAAATTTAACGACAAATTTCCAAATTTGAAAATTCAGTATTTTGAAAGTTCTAAATTTCTGAATTAAATATTTCTGAATTTCTGAGTTGGAATTTCTAAATATTTAAAATCCAAAATTGTATGTTTATAAACATATAAATTCCTAAATTACTAAATTCTTCAAAAACTAAAACTTTCATAGTCAATAACTACAAATTTTAAAAATTTGAAAACCTGAAATTTCTACATTAATAAATTTTCACATATGTTTACCTGTTCGTAAACTTCCAAATATATAAATTTGTAAATATGTAAATAGCCATGGAAGTACACTTTGGTTTCCTAAATAGTTTACGACCTCGCTATATCGAGGCAAACACTACGCAACGTGACACATTTATCATCGCATAGGCAATGAAATTTCATTTCTTTTAAATAACTGAAAGAACACTACATAATTTACAATTGAGTTAATTTGCAATTCAATTAGTATAGATAAATTTCTGCAAGCATTAAATGCTTCAATTTCTGCTCCATAGAAAATACCACTCGCACTATCGGTGCCGAAGCCATAAATCATTGAATACAAAAATGAACAATTCGATTCCGCAATCGATTTCTGATAACCATAATACCTTTTGAAAGTGAGCCATAAACCACTGTCA